TTGATATCGTTACACACAATGTGTTCATTCTATGCCATTGATTTGGTACTACTATCTGATAGTTTTTTTCTTCTAAAAAGAAAACGTGTTGATTTTTCCCACAGTAGCACTAAGAAATCTAATAACAAAGACGTCAAGGAGGAAAAGTTGTTTTAACATTATACTTTTAGGATTTAATCACAACTATATATTTGATTGAAAAGAGGTACTATCTACCAAGGCTGCATATTATATTATATTATATTATATTATATTATATTATATTATATTATATTATATTATATTATATTATATTATATTATATTATATATCCCTGTGGCGCAATCACAGTGCAGAGAATTACCGTCAATTTCACCTAGCTAGTAAACATCTAGAAAAAAATCAATGCATGACCCTCGTAGAGGGTAGAAAAGAGGACCGTGCGTCATTTTGTTCTGCGTAAGGACAGAGTGAATCTTTTCTAATTGCCTGACCGCAAGGACGTTCTATTATGCCTCACGTACCTTTTCCCGCCAAATTATGATCATATCATTGTATGTGTATGAGTGTCAATCACGTGAAATGAGTCATATCATATTTGTCCTTCCTTCTGAAAGCTGATGGGGACAATGTAAACTCGTGATTCCGATACAAAGGTTGAGTGAAGATTTAAAATGAGACGCATGTGAACTGCTGTTATTTGGGAATGTGTGTAAAAAAGGCTTGCTGCCTTGGTAACGGACAACTGACGAGAGAGAGAGAGAGGGAAAGGGGGGTGAAGTACTTGTGCCCTCTACCAGGGTGGCAGATATTATAGGAAAATTTTCAAAAGGCCAGAGAATCAAATGACTATCTAAAGACATATCTTTGAATATCTTGTGGAAAATCAATCTGTCGCCCTGGTAGAGGATAGGGTAGAAGGGGGCGGGGGGAGAAGGGGTGAGAGAGAGAAAAAGAGAGAGAAACTTCGCGTTCACATCAAATACTTTATGGAAATGAGTGGTTAAGTCGTAGATCTATGAACGCCTGCGGCAATTGTGGAAGTCAGCATTTCACTTTGTTCTTAAATACCTGTAGTTAGCTACCATATTTTCTTCTCCCTCCAGGAACTTCTATCAGGGCCAGTATGCAAATAGTTCTCGCGCCCGCGAGATAGATTCGTGAGAAAGCGTGAGAGCCTCTCGAGGCAGACGATAGGCGAGTTTCTCACATACGGTGTCGTAAAAGGTCGTAAATGACAGGCAATAGCCCGGAATTACAGACACCCTGGATTTAGAGACAAAAGAATACATTTACAGAAAAAATGAAAGCGTGCGAATTTAGCTCCCAGATTCCTCAATGTACCGGCGTAGTCATGATACGCTGCCTTTATTGTCATCTATCATCTCTACATATACATAATATTTTGTTTGTGTTTAGGATATCTTTCTCATCATCTAAACTTTCGTCTTCGTTGAGTGTTTGAAATAGTCAGCTACTGACAAATTAATCATAGAAATGAATGACTTGCTGATACAACACACGATACATGTAAACAAACTTGCCGAATTTTAGAAATTTTTGTTGTCATTGTGCTCGTCTCATAATGATATAAGCTTTTGGCGTATTATTATCTAGCCAAGGAAATTGTGTTTTCATTTCTCTCTGTTGACCTGCCTATCTACCTTTCTGTCAGCCACAGCAGACTAAAGTTTGAACGGGTTTTGATGAAATTGTCAGGTAAGGTTAAAAAAGAAGTAACTGAGAAACAAATAGATTTTGGTGGCGAGCCACAAATGATAATTAATTAATGATTTATGAGAAAAATGCTACCCTGTTGTAGGTCTGTATTGTCTTTATTTTGACCCTCGTGCAATTAATTCTACTTTATTTATTATATGTAAATCACTTTTATTATAATTGTTTATTTCTAAAATTAAATATTTACATGCAGAGGTTCGCGTCAGTGTCGGGACATCATCAAAAGAAACGATAGCAATCTTCTCTGTTATTCTACCTCGTATTTTCACCAATGTCTCCCTTCACACGGTTCGTCAGCGCGTGCCTCGTGGGGGAGGGGGGCACTATCATTAACCGTCCATCCGGAGATTTTATCGTCCTGTTCTCACACACCGTTAGATTGTCAACCACCCGTTCTCTCCTCGTTTTCTTATCTGTGGCTGTTTGAGAGCTGAGATAACACGAACATACGTACACGTAAGACCTACAGCGGAATTACACGGAGTAAGACTGACTCAGATATTTTGGTTCAGGAAGATTGTAATGATAATGTTAGAGTTGATCAGTTTATTTTTTAGTTTTTAACAATAGACATAAGCAGAAAATATATTTATTCCATACAATATTAAAAAGGAAAATGGATACGAAAAAGACTGGGTATTCGTTTCATAAACATGGTGTTTTCTCTCAAACTAAATGGGGTACGAAATCGAGAGAATTGACCCAAATTAAAACAGATAGTAGGCCTATACTCATAATACGCCGTCTGCAACTTGATACAGTCTCCATGTTCAGAAGAAACCTCGCCTTATTAAAAAGTTTCTCAGTGCTCTTCCCAAACTATAACACAAGATCAACCCAGCTTAATTTTCAGTAAAAGGTGAATCACACTAACCGGAGAGCGGTTCTAATGTCGTGTAAACGCGGCAGATTGTTTGGTCAGATTTTGTCACGCGCCTCCGGTCTGTTTCCCGGTTCGTCGGCCATGACGTCGTGAGTTAATCGTGAGAGAGATTAACCACATGGATAAGACACAGAACCGTCAACCCCTCATATCAGTGTTTTCTCACAGAGGGCTAAGTAGCTGCACTCTCCCGTTTGTCAGTTGTAAGTGTCCTTATCGATAGGAGATTGCAGCAAATAACCATACAATCAGTTCATATCAGCGCAGTGATAGCACTTTGGTATTTTCACGTGTGAGAAACCTGTCATGGGTAAGTTTGGTGACACCGGCACCGGAGAAGATTGGGAGATGACGAAAATTGCTGGTGACAGCCAGACAAGCTTTCGGTAACTAGTAAACAGATCGTCTGGGTGTGATTTGTGTGAAAAACTTTGCATTCAGGTGTGGCACTCTATTTCGGTGGCACTTGCATTACATTGGGAGTATTCTCTTTTTCTCCTCTTCTTATTTATTTGTTTGTTTATTTTGAACAAGAGTGGAAGGAACCCTGAAGGATGCGCGTTTTATTGCATTTTCGCTAACTGGTCTCAAAGTTTTTTTTTCTTTTATTGTCCCTTTTTCTTCACACCTCTATTCTTATCAGAAATGTCTTTTGTTGCGTTTCAGATTCATCAAAACAATTTGGAAAAAATAAAACTAAATTTCAGGAAATCATGCCCAATATTAGGACACCAAAATTGTCTATTTTATTTGCTTTTCGTTACGAGTTTTTCGCATCCTTCAGAACGTGAAGCATATGTTATATACGTGGTACGTTTTCAAACAGTCTAGAATGCACGACTTGCGTGCTGGTGTCGTATTAAGACGGCGTTCCGTTCTTCTTAGTTATGTCTTAATTGTAGGTAATTACAAACTCTTATTTGAGCATTCTCGTCTCCAATTAAATGGAACGGAAACCAAGAGCTGATGACATTTTCTCACATCGCCCGTTAATTCTCATTGTTAATAATTCATGTCGCAATCCTATAATACACAAATAATTCATTTTATTATTCTTTATATCTCATAATTTAAGTTTTGTTGATTTTAAAAGCAGTCCTACAATTTGTTTGCTCATTTTGGCGCCCTTTTCGCAATGTTGATTTAGCAACTTTTCATAATATTCGCTGTGTAAAGAAATGCACGTGAGCAGTCAAAACGCTCAAAATCCGCAATGTCCGAACACGCAGCGCCTGCGTCGTCCACTCTAAATAAACAGCGTCGATGTTTTTATTTATCATTTTTCTATGTTAGGTAATCGCGCACACCTGCGAACAAAATGAAATGAAAATAGTTGTTATACTGGGTACGTTTATTTGCTGTATTGAGTAGTTTGTGTATTCAATACTGAAGTAAACCATAATTATCAAATTGTGGGAGGGTCGCATATAAAAACAATGAGAGTGCATAATAAACTGCATTTTAAACATCCCAAAGTAGTATATTTTTCAAGGTGCAATATGGTTTTTAAACATGTGGAGAAGAAAAGTAAAAGGACAAGGACCAGTGAGGGAGATCACCGCCCCCCTCCGTTTAGACAACAAGTGCTAGAGTAAATACCCCCATTATTGTGTGCTATATGTCCCATTTATGTCCTAAAAGCTTATCTTTCAACCGTCTGTCTTCAACTTTCTCAACATCAATAGAAGCCTCATGTCTCTTTCACTGACACACCCTAATCCGAAAGAGATATCGGTAAATAACGAAATGACCCGTTAAAATCGTTTGGAGCGTGTATCAAAATCCGTTAATTCCGTTACTGGGGATGTGCATAATATCACTATTTAATGTTCTTAAGATGAATGTAATAACAGCCCAGGCCAATTTTCCTTTCTGAGTATTCACTTTCCCACGCGAACGGGTACACAAATTTAATTTGCCTTCTTTATTCTAACGGCATCTGCGTTTAGCGCACACAAAGCGTACAAGCGTCAGTATCCAGTATTGTATTGTGTGTCTCGGTGAGAGCCAAGGGTTCCCACGCTCTCATACCTGTATTAACACCGAGGACCTCTACCGTGTCACTATTACGCCGCCAGTGGAGGCATTTCAATAGCAGAGACGCGCGATCCGGGACACAGGCGAAAAGCAGGTGACAAAGACCGAAGGCAAGGGGGCGGAGTTTTCCCATGCCTGCACAATAAGCCGAGCGCGTGCCGGCAGATTACCATCTGTCCGAGGGCGACCTTGAATACGACCGGCAATTTGCGACGATTGTTATCAAATTAAGAGTATATGCCTTATGGCAATACTCGAACCAATCAGCGCAGGGTTTACTACCCCAGGTGAATCAGACGCGCGTTTTGATTGGTTGAAAGTCCAGGTATGTTGACTTTGTCACAACTTTCCCACGTTCCGATGTATGTGGCTGATATAAAGGGAAACTTAATTCCTACAGATGACAGAATACCTGTACATTCAAACAGACAACACATATCTTCGCTCTCTAACGGAATCTTACTCAATTCAAGGATTTATTTCAACATGAGCGTGCTCATAGAAAAGACCAGCGACACCGACATGCAGAGAAACCATAGAAAGGTAGGATTTGTCTTTGTGGTTAAAAAATTAGGTGGTTTATAGGAGTATTGATACTTTGAATCACGCTATACGTGATAGCAATGAACGTGAGATAAGAAATAACTGAATGTAACGGTAGTTCCAAGTCAATGGCTTCGTCTCATGCAATGGCAGATTCAGCATTTACAGAGCTCGAATTTATGTTTATATTTATGTGTTTTTGGCATGTTTAAAACAAATTTTTACCAGGGAATATCTGTTTTTAAAGAGCATATTTATATATGAGTATTTTAGAGCAGTCATCATGATGGTATGCTAACTTAAACGTCTCTTCGTGTTACAGATTACAAAGCCTCTGATGGAGCGCAAACGCCGAGCCCGCATCAACGCCAGCCTAACAGAACTTAAGACTCTCCTCCACGACGTCATTATCAGAGAGGTAGGTTAACTGTGAAGTACTGTGTTGTTCTGTTACCAGTCGTGTTAACGTGCTTGTTTACGACTCACTATGATGTCACCGAGCTATCGCGCGTCCCAGCAAGCGTGTGACAATGCGCCGTGTACTATGTTGACATTAACGACACGATTCGACATTAACGAGTTAAACTGGCACGCCGGAGAACCGCCAGACATTCCATTTCTTTTGTGATAATGATGTCAGAGGTCGCAGACGTCGTGCCAGAGCATTAACAAACACGGAATTAGACCTGCAGTTTAAGAGTTTAATTTAGAGTTAAGATGAGAAAGAATGTCCAGTTGTATAAACCTGACATTAATTGCTTTTTTAACAACACGATGAGCGAGCGTGATTTCAATGCTGTCCTTGATGGTTCTTTGATCAAAGCAAACACGACCAACATTTTCATTGCATGTGATAAAGTGCTGGTTTTTATGTGTGTATGCTCATGTTTATCGTTTTTATGTTTGCAGAGATACAACCATTGTAAACTGGAGAAGGCCGACATTTTGGAGCTCGCTGTGAGACACCTCAACGACATTAACAGAAGGCATGTTTATGGTAAGTTTTACATCCAAATACCTCGTTTTACTTATACCTTGTCACATTTTGGGAATATGCATTTTTTCACCTTCATAATATATTTAGGATATTTCTTAAGAAAAAAAATTGTAATCATAACGTTGTCTCATGATAAATAATGTGCTTAATTCGGTAAACAACAAGGTATGTTAAGTAAACAAAAATAACATGTTATTTATTTTCCCTTTTCTTTATTTTCTAGCTGCCGGTGCCTTCCATCCTTCCGTCATGGACAAATACAAAGCCGGCTACAAGGAGTGTATCAGTGAGGTGTCCAGATATCTTGCCAACACAGACGGTGTAGACGCCGAGATGCGAGTGCGCATGCTTAACTTCCTGGCCAACAGAATGCAGGGATCATCTTCAGACATCCCAGCCAACATGTCTGGTAGTATTCAACAGATGCCAACAGCGGGACAGACAGAGCAGAGGCTCACCGCCCCTCCCCCCGTCGCCCTCGTGGCAGGAGTGGTGTCCCCACACTGTGTGAGAAGAAATGAGTTTATCATGAAATCTGAGCCAGTGTCTCCTGTATCCTCCGCGCCTAGTTCGCCCAGTGGAAGCACGTCCTCTTGTCCAAACAGTCCTATTGTTGGGTCGCCATACGCCACAAACGGACAGTTTAATTTTAAGTTGGACACTTGCAAAGGGTTCTTCACGACGCCCGCAGCAGTGTCTGTTGTCACTCCGCCGGAAGTGTATGACCCTCTTGCGCGTGCGCAGGTTATCGAATGTGTCAAAAATGAACTGTACACCCCAGGGCCGGAGAAGAGACAGCGAGATAGATTTGTGTGGCGTCCATGGTGAACAGCTTTATTCAGACTTTAACTGACTTAACATATGCCAAATGTAATGTTCTTAAAACACGTTTTAAAAGCGAACTAAAGGGAATACGTTTTCAGATTATATGGGTGTCTTGGGCTGAGACAAATGGGGTTTTTATTTTTGTATTTATGTTTGTGCTCTTAATGATCTCAACTTTAGTGAACTTTGTTTTTTATGGACAGATAAGGATTTGAGTTAATACTGGTCCTTGGTTACGATAATTGAGGGATATTTGTTTTCACTTACGGGTGGTTTTGCTTTCGCACCAAAGAATAAATGCCAAAAATGTCATCATAATCTGTCGTTGTTGTTATCAATTATCATTTATTTTATCACGACTGCACTTCTTATCTGTGTAATTCTTTCATTTAATCAAGATCAGCAAAACATACGTAATTTACCAGGCGTTTCTTGCAAACAATATTATCCTACAACGTCTCTTATTATTTTTTCTACAGTCGAAGTATGAACGCTTAAGGCGATTAGGCCTACTTGCCATCAGAAATAAAAAATCGTCCTCCCCATATTCTGACTTTAAAAAATATCTTTTTGATTCATAACTTGCATTCTACAATTATATTGTATGATTTTAATTTCATCAGCATCATTACTTGCTCCAAATTTGGAATTTTCCTGCGCTGTGTCTTGTTTCTGATCATTCATGTCCCTAAAAATCAAAAGTCACACGCTCGAGATCTTTGCTCTTTGTACATCGCTATAGAGAAGGTCGCGCCTCAGTCCAAATAGCCCATGTTTTCGCAACTTTTGGCAAGAAAAATATGATTGTTTACACGGGAAATCCTTTGCAAATATTTAGTATTATGGCACGTGACCTGGAGGCACAAGCACACAATTAAGGCGTCCCGCAGGTCAATGAGTTGACAACCTCAGTCGGGATCAGAGAAGGAAGTGTGAGAAAGCTTAGCGATTCAGGTAGATCTGAATAAGAACACGACGTGAGTCATACTGCTTAATGTTGGACAAAATATGTAATAAGGCTGCACAAAGGTAACGAACTCAATAGATTTTTATGTCCATGCTCCATAGTTCACAAAATATCTATTTGTGGTTCCCTTTTTTTTTTAGATAATTTGAAATTTACCTTCATGAAAAATAAACCTTATTTAAAAACCATTAAACATATTCCACTATTTCTGTAAATTCTAATATAAAACAAGTATTGTATGATATATATATACACTGGATCTAAACAGGATATTTGCCCATTATTGTCTTGTTACCAACACCACTGAAGACACAGAGTGCCTGTATCAAGGGTCCAAGATTGGAAATTCTTACTTAACAGAAATATCTGGTATCCTCTGTCGTCGTGTTTATATATCTTAATTATCACCTTGGACACAGACACGTAACTTTGTGCAGGGGACACGTCGTCGAGACCTTTGATGGCTATGTTAACGTGATAATAGTCCGAGAGCGATACAATACAATTCTTTATGAATCATAAATCACTTTGGGAGACGCAATAATCGCGCGTCTTTTAACTTGGACACTGGTGCATTTAGTGTAGGCGTTTAATTAAAGGTCGTCACAATGGTGACGCCACTCAGCGTCTGAGTTAAGTCTTAATTTGTTCTGAAATATACCCGGTCTTCTCTGGGGTAAGCTGTGGCTCGCTTAACTTAGTTAATACTGTGGATGTAGGTCCTTTATTCTCTTTATTTCTCCACTAAGAATGACTAGATCCCTCAAATACATCTGCATTTTATTTCACTATGCCTGTGCCGATTTTAAACGTTACCAAAATCAACTTTTTAAAAAATATACTATTCTGAAAATACATTCCAGATTAAATGCCAGCGTTCTTCAGTTCCATATAAAACATTAAATGCATTTCTATTTCTATCAGAAAGAAAGACAATGTCGTCGCTCCAAAGTTGCAACGCGTGCCATACATGTACGTAATGACATTTTACAGCTGGTAAAGTTAACAAGACGACGAGATAAGATGCCCCAATCTTTGATTTAATACCTGCCTTTTATCAAGTATTATAAACATGCCTGTCATATTAAGACTGTGATATACTTTCCGCGACAGGATTTCACACTTTTGCCAAATCTGGCGTTATCTGATGGGATAAGATATACATCTGACGTTAAAGGTAGTTTATCTCACTTTCATGGGTATTTGAGATAAAGATGTCCTTTCGAACAAGAAAGTTTTTAACTTCCCTAAATTTTCTCCGAATATCAGTCTCCTGCTCACGTTCAGATATTACTTTAAAATTTTGACAATGGTACTTTTATATCTTACTGTCCATTTGCTCATTCAGTCTTTAGAGAATAGCATGAACCATAAAGGCCTTTAACTTTTTCAGCACTACAGTATATTTTTTTTCAGGCAGAGGAGTTTTTACGTTGCTTTAGCCAGGAAACTTTCTAAAAAATCTCTCGTTTGCTGTTTTGGTAAAATTTAACCGATCCGAATTCGCAAAGATATTTTTACGTGGGGGTGGGGGGGGGGGGGTTAAGATGTAGTAAAAATTTATATACTGCAGCAGTTTACATAGTAATTGAGTCCAAGTAAAAGCTATTCAAATCTAACTGACATCCTGCAAGTTACGACATACCTTATTTTCAAGAAGATAGACATCTTAATTAGTAAGCGTTGCCTCTTTATTAAGGACGCTACGCCCATTACCTGTGCATTATAGAGTGAACGAAAAATGGCGAATTGCACATAAAAGCCAAAATGCAGCGTCGCATTACTGGGCAAGGCGCCGCTCATTGAAAAAGCGTCTCTGAAAGCCTGAATTACGAAGCACTGTCATTGTAACCTTAGATATGAAAAGGGGTCTAGTCCCCTCCTAACGCCTTTATTTGACCACTGATAAAAGGCGATCGCTCCGCCAAACATGTGTCAAATATTTAGGTACGGGTTATGTCTCTATTCGCGTTAACTCGGAGTTAATTATACACTAACACCTGTAACACTGGCCCATCTTCAATCCTACACATTGATAACTGTCGGGAAATTCCTTTGATCTCCCGGGCGTGTTAGGAGAATGACAGGATTGAAATGATCCTTTTGTTGTGTGATATCGGGGTGTTTAAAGGTATTTCTTAACATAATAATCCAGGTGAGATGACAGTTCAAGAAATCTATCTTTATGCCATATGCTTTGATACACATCATATGTTGTATAATAAAACTTAACTCAAACCCGTCCCTTTAATTTGACACATAATATTGTTGATGGTCAAGCCCATCATCCATATTTCTAAAACAATGGACATGTACCATATGGCGTGTTCGATAGAAGAAGCCAGGCATTTCCCACTATGTCTTAATGTATAGGTCTAGTATAGGGAACATTATAAAGACATTTACACGTATAAAATTTCATAATTGTGCGGCCTATCTGTCTTAGTATTACATTCTAAAGGGATACCATAATAAAAGGAATGACGCTGTTAATGTACAAATAAATATGGACATAAACACTTTGTGTCGTCATGTTATCTATCAAGGGTAAAACAAGAACATTGTGTTATGAAAAACGATATTCTTGGTCTGTGGAAAAATACGACTTCTTAGAAACAATTACATGTACCTAGGCGTTTTTACACAAATATAGGTTATGGATTTAAATTCTATCTGCTGTAGTTTTGCACTTCGGCGTTTCTTGTAAGAAGCAAAAAAATTGAGGGTGGACAATGGGGAGTTGTGGGTCTGGCATGTGGAATGAGTAAGCGTAAACACAACCCTGGGAAACGGAGAAGTTTTAAGTCGAAAGAGACCTAAAGAAAACGATTATTTATTTATTTATTTATTTATTTATTTATTGTTAAAAAGACCACCCTAAGATAGAAAAGAAGAACAGAAAAAACGAGCACCTATCAACTGACGAATTTCAACTGACATCAAAGGCCGATCTCACTTTGTCCTATGTTTGTTGCCCGTCCTCTTAACTGAAGTTAGCGACACACCCCAGAAGTGCGTCAGACAGCTCGAAGACGCGTGGCTAATGTAGGCCCTGTTTCATGCCCTCAAGCATCGGTTATGGGAGATAAAGAGACATAAAGAATGGTGAAAATACAGTCTCCTTTTGAAATCCATTAAAATTGATTTCAAACAGATATGCCGTCTCCATATTTAAAATAAATGCAACAAAGTCAGTTCTTCGTCCTCCCTATTCAGTGTCTATCCTCTGGATTATCTTATCTTGTCAGATCAATTATCAGGCCTCCGCACACTGAAGATGCCCAGTTACAGGTATAATCTGATCTCCGAACAATAGAGAGGAAGTCTGTGAAATATCAGCTACGAATAGAGGTATAACTTCCCTACTACAACTTCCCGTAAAAAAAGATTATCATGTTTGGCTGGACTGTTGTCTGTTGTGTTGTTATCTCGAGCGGAAACTGCCGTGTAAAGGATGATTAACCACCACGAACTGCTTTTCAGACACACCAGTTTGCGCAGCCTAACCAGGGGCGGAACTAGAAATATTTTCTGACATTCTTACAATGATCCAACCTTCATGTTTGACCATCTTCCGACGAAAAAGATCTTTTCATTACAATCTTGAAAAATCTGACCGTCTTCCAGAAGACGGCATCTATCCGCCCCTGCTAACTCTATTTTTGTCGAGAAGATACTGTATGCCTTCAAGCACATGTAAAGAAAGCTTACTTAGTCAGAAAAGTTGCCTAGCACAACCTTGTACAGACCAGTTTAAGTGTAAAAACGAACCAGTTAACATGATGTAAAGAAAGGCATAATAACCCATGAAAACAAATATAAGTTGCAGTCAAAATTCAATAGGCTATACATGTAGAATCGCAAACACTATTCAAAATTATTAACCAGTAGGCCTTCGTGCGTTTCATTATAAAGACTAGGCAGTAGTTTCTATCTTGTGAGTAAGGACGACCCATCCTGAATTCATAGGGCGAGCTATTAACCAAAAACGCCACAAAATCGAATTTGGTCGTGTTGTCTTTCAATGAGCGATGCTGCTTTACCCCATCCATTCATTTCAAATGTCATCCCAACTGTTTTATTTTATAATTCAAGAGTGTTAGGCTATCTCAGGAAAAAAATTGGACTCCCTCTGAAAATATATTTAGCATTCTTTTGCGAATCATCATTCATTTCAGCAGTGAATTGGCCGGAACACAGTATTTAAGTTGCATTTAAAAAGCAGCACCGTCGCTGTGAGCAAATCACGCGCGGTTGTTTTCTCCAATCCAAGGTAAATCAATGGATGTCGCAAGAGGTCGAAGAAATCGATACTAGTCTAGCTAATTAAGATCGAATCCCAGATGTCATTACAAAAGATCCCCAGTGATTTGTTACGGTGTTTAGTTATTCACGGTGTTTATTGCCTGCGTCTGATATTTTCTAAAGCAACAGTTCTCTGGTCTCAGATAGTTATATATCCTGGCGTGGAAGGACAGCAAGGGCCGCGTTCCTACTTAGCTCAGGTGGATCGAAGTCAATTAAGCAGGTTAAATTTAATCAGGACTGTTTCAATTGCAATGGATCGGCAACGTGAAGCATTCCTTACTCCCAAAAAATGATAACTTTATCTTCAGGACATATTCTCTGTTTCCATCATATTAATTTCAATCACCTTTGTAAAACTATAGACAACGGCCTTCAGATCGATTTATTACGTTTTCGTGTAGATGCACCCTAAAATTCATTTACCTTGAAGACGTCATTGTTATTTAAGGGAAGTATGACAAACAAGAAAAGATTTAGTTTCGTGGGAAAATATTATGCAAAACACGAGAAGAATAACAAAAACACCCCCCAAAACTGCACCTCTTTTCTGCCCGTGCCCACATAAGTTGCCCCGAGGAAGTTATTATTTCACCCCGGTCTTTCGTATCATTACGGATTAATAGAAAAGTGTGCCTCCAATTTTGGCGCGAACGCTCTGGCATTGTTATAGCTTGTTTACCCATGAGAGAGAGGTCGTGCTAATATTGACCAGGTGTGCCTAATTACAGCCAAAAGTAACAGTAGTTGTTAGTTGACAAAGCACACTCATGTGGCGCGGGAAAGGAGAGAGAGAGAGAGCGATTGCTTCCTGATCACGTAGTAGGCCTTAAGGTACTTTGAGGATTCATGTTGATTCACCGTATAGATCTTGATAAAAATAGAAGTATATATATTGATGCACCTTGAAAGATCTACATTATAGTTGTTAAATACAATCGATTGTATTTAACAACTATAATGTAGATCTTTCAAGGTGCTTAAATATGTATAGGCCTAAAGGTAGTTCTGATCGCCTCTAAACAGCATTTTAACACTCCGGAAATGTTTTCTGCTCTCACTTGATAAGAGTTTATCAACAAGCGGCATTTGTAGTTGTCTACAAAAAAGTTTTTTGGCTGTGAAAAGGAATTCATCAGATCTTATACATGTACGTCTAAAGTGTAACAGTTACTTTAAGAAACGCTATCCCTCTGTTGCATTACTTCTTTTTTTTAATCACGAGGAAACTAAAATAGATTACTTTACATTCAATTTGAATTGATGTGTTCACTATTTCTTATTCTGGATAACCTTTAAAACAATTATATTTCAAAATTATACTTTTTTCACCTTAAAGGGCAGTGCTACTATGCCCCATGCTTTATTTCATAGGCCTGTACTGTTATCATAAAGATAGCAAAAAACAGTGTGAAATTAACAGTACCCTATACAGCAATTACTGTACATAATATATACTAGGACATGAAAAACCACTAGAATTGCGCACACAGTTGTATATGTGTATGTTTTATGGTATTAAAACTATTATTCATAAAAGTGGTAAATTAATGGAATTTAGCATGATTCAATAACATGCTTTTCATTGGATCATTTATGACAAACAGGTACGCTTTAAACTAATTCTCCCCATTGACAAACACGTCATCAAAACTAGAAAGAAGCTTACGCAGAATTGTATAATTTGTGATATTCTGATCCATTGATACGTAAAACATCACATCGTACACGCAACAACAACAACAACAATAATAATAATAATAAAAATAATAATAATAATAATGCTTTATTGTGCTCCCTTTACATTGTATACAACATATATTGTAGGCATACATGTATTATCCACTGTATAACGTATAATTGCCCCATGTTTAGCGTTGCTTTCGCTCTAAGCCCAGCATCTCTTCAGCTACTATATTGTACTCATGTTGATCATTCAGTGCTAGCATTGCTGGATAATAATAATAATAATAATAATAATAATAATAATAATAATAATAATAATAATGGTAATTATTATCATTATTATAAGCACTGGACTGTTTATAAGACGTGGTTGAACTGAGGAAATCAATGCTGATTACCAAGGACGCCACACATTCTCACCGCCTTCACCATCTGTATCATCACCGTGGTTAGCAGGGCTTTCAGCGGTCTTGTTGGAATCTCTACCGTTATGGACTGTCATTTCACCATCATTAACCTCACCATCATTTACAGACACGTGGCCATTTTCCAGGTGTTACGTGATCATCCAACTGATGAAGTATACTTTCAATGTCGATGTGAGCTTGCGCAGTCTGGACAGCTTCTTCATATTCGTCCTCCTCAAAGCGTTCTACTTTTATTGATACTTCAGACAATTTAATCGCTGATCCACTTGCCGTATGATGCCTTTCTGACTTATCGAAATTTGCACCAAATTTAGTAGCTGCTTCATCGGAAGTCATAAATACCGGCATTTTTTGGCTTTGATCACATGTTGGTGTCCCACCATGCACCGCTATTCCGGAAGCAGACGACATTTGAGTCTCGGATGACGTAACTTGCAGACCTTTGGACTCATTGACACTGTTATAAATTCTCTCATGCCTGCATTTCAAATTTCGTTTTTCTGTTTGTAACACAGAGGAGTAATCATTGTTTAAATGTTGTTCTGAAGCAGTATTAGTTAGATGATCATTAGATTGCGATTTTGATGATGAGGGCAAGCAACTACTAAACACACTTTGAACACTGTCATCTCCATCGCCCAATTTATTTTTTGATAAATGAAACTGATCGCCCGATGGTGCAACAGACTCTTTGAACAAACTGCTTGGAGCCTGATTTTCCTGGGGATGTTCGTTGTGGGTCGACTCCATATCAGTCCGTGTAATAGTATGTGAGGGAGGGGTTCTGAACATGGGGACCGCCCCGGGGATGTGGAACCCTCCAGGCGGATGAGGAGCAACCGGATACGGAAACGGCGCTGAAATGCGATGAGCATGCGCGACCGGAAACAGGGAAAACGTGTGTTGTCGCATGGTTGTCGTGGCAACGGACATTCCGTTAACGCAGTTTGCTAAGTAGTTGACAAGTCTTAGCTGAAGGTCGGGGTCGACGCTCTCTACGGATGTCATGTACCGCTGAACCTCGGTGGTACACTCGCTGAAACCTGTCTTGAATTTTTCCACGACATTGGGCTCGAAGGCGGCAGACACTAAAATAAAGATCAAGAATGATTGGACATTTCATGGAGTTCATTTCTGGTAGAACAATATACAAATGACACTTTTTTTAGGGATGAGACCCCGGCTCTCATCCTTTTTCATTGCTTACAGCTAGGTCTTCAGTGCTTGCCAATGTCGTTTTTATCAAAATTAAATTCCTCATAGCACAGGTAGGGCCTAATAGGACACTGTAGGAAATTTCAGTAAGGGTTATTATTTGACAAAAAATAATCCCAACTTATAAGGAGAAGTGGACAGAAACCGTACTGATTTACCAGGCTTGAGATTTTTAGTTTCACAAAGCTTTGCACTGGTGGTGAATAAACACAGAGGGGGTGAAAATTTTGGTAGGCCTATGTCACAACTAATTCTTCAAAATATTTTCCCAGCTTGATGTTTTGTAGATTTCAAGCGTATATGAATTATTTAATCTGTTGGACAAAAAGCGGATTTTTAAAATTTCAAAATGAGAACCAGTCTCTCTACTAACTTATCAGACTCTGTCTCTGTAATCCCCGCAAGAACTTCACTGTCATCTCCAAGATGTCTGCTTTCTCTAGCTTGGAATACGCAGAGCCCTGGAAATAAACAAGCAAAGGAAAATAAATGATTTGCATGCAGTATAAGTATTGACTTTATTTGATGTATTAAAAAATACAGGACTAGATCGTGTTTTCGAAAATTTCCCCATTTTATCAATGTCAGCCTCGCCACATTTTATCTACCAAAATCAGTGCAGACAGACAAATGAACATCTCTGACCAATAGCGTTACAATCAGTTTATCTTACTAGCTCAACACCATCGAAACCAAATATTAAACTCACCCCTCCCTTTTTTTTGGTACTATAAAATTAAAATAACAAGAAAAAGGCTCACAATTCACAGCAGGGGACAGCACAGCAGTCTGCAAAACTGAAACTGCCGAAGGTGGTCATACGAAATAAACATTAATAATTATAAATGTCTGATGAGTATGTCCCATGTAAAATCAGAATGTACCACTGATGTTCGCGCAGGCAATGTAAATTTTATTGCTAGGACGAAAAGCTGAAAATATTTAGATAATAAATAGTTACGATGAAGGACCGATTTTGTCAACAATATTAACGAGGTTCATAGAAGTTGTAGTAGACCAAAATGGCCAAGTAAAAAGAACGTTTTGGAGGCACCACAGAATATCGTAAACACCTCCCCCTCCGCCCCCCCCCCCCCCCCCCTTTCAGGTAAAACGTTGTACAGCAAATGATTCTCTCTCTTATTTTGTGCGAAAGGTCTTCTTTTTCTTTCAATTAAACCACATACAAATACGGGTAGCTGTCTAAGGTAAAATTTAAGACACAATTAAGCCAGTCTGGTTAAGTATTAAGTCTGCACACGACCACAGTGTACAGTGTCTTAATCCCAGTGGCATGCCAGTCTTTAGGAAGAAAAGAATCACTCACAGACAGACGACGTTGGTCGGGTTTTGTTTAAGTGCCCAGGAGACGCGCAGGGGACAGGGACATAAAGACGCGTCCATCTATACTATGATTAACTCTAAGAGGCTGTAACTTAGCCATGTAATGTCAACCGATGTTACATCGACGGTGGAGCTCCGACACAAACCAGGATGACTTCCAATGCAACTGTCTACTTTAACTTCTTATACTCCACGTCTCCTTTCTGTCTTAAGATGTGTTGTGACATACGGCTTAATAGTATCAGAGACACGGGACGCCCGGCAGGATTTAAGAAGCTTGGTATGATAGGGGTAGCGCCAAGTCGAAGCGACAAGGCTTAAAGTAAGAAAAACTGAAAAATAAGATTTTATGACGGTGACTCGAGATGAAATATCTCCCTGCAATTTGTTGTCTTTGATCCCAGATTTTCTGAATACTATTCGAAACGAAAGAAAGCAAAACTAGTGCTGAGTTTTAATTCTCTCCCTCTGGTTGCGATTAGGGGCGTGCGTGCGTGTGTGTTGGGGGGGGGGGGGTCACAGACAAATAAATTTAGAAGGATTGCAGCAGAAATATAATATGTTAAGCTCGGGCAAACAGACATGCAGACTAACACATAGTTACAGCATCCTATTGAGTAATAAACAAGCCACTATATTCTTCAAATAGTAAACAAGTAAACAAATGCCCCCGGTGACTTTAGGCAAGGCGGAACAACTTGACATAATGGCCACCTTCTAACTCATATAAGTGGTATCTCGTGGGAGAACGCGGTTACTGTCTTAGCCACCCTGTGCCATCTTTTCCTGACTTTCAAACATTAACGCCTTCGAGGATACAAGAAAGTCTTTTGTTGCCAAAAATTATCTGCGCTAACTCTCAAGGCACGGCAAGACACGCCACGAGCCTTCCGGCAGTATCGACGTCAATCTGTTACTCTTTTGACAGCTTACACGGTTTCAGGTGATTTTAGCTATTAATGTTGCAAAGTAGAAAACCAAAGAAAAATTAAACGAATAAAGGACTGAAAGTGTGAAGAAATAAAATTAAAGGTAAAAAAGCGAATGGATAACAAGTCAATGTATCAATCAATCGGATAAAAAACAACCAACACACAGTGTAGTGTCTCGGACTAAATGTTGCTACTTTTGAGTATTTTAATAAAAATTTCAAAAAAGTTATAAACACCTTATAAAGAAGCATAGCAAGTGTATCGAGACAAACCCACACAATTAAAGTTTATAACCCTGTGCCCGGGGCGTAACAATAGAACGGTAGTCGTCTACTTCATCTGATGTGTTTGCCGTGCAAAGCCAGTGCATTTGTTTTAATTCTTGTAACATCCCATTTAGATCTTCAATCCCCGTGCCTCCTCCCCCCCCCCACCCCACCAGACCCCTGGATCCCCAGGGTGATAGTCTCACTTACATCTCTGTTCATGGCTTGCAGGACCAAGTACTTTAGCTGGTTCAGACACTCGTTAATCCGCGCTCGGCGTCTCTTCTCCATCAGAGGTTTATTACTCTGAAAATACAATTAATTTAACATTTATATGAATTCCTTCATATAACAAGAGATTATAGTATGCTCTCCAATATTTTAGCAAAAATGAACTTTTTTTAAAAACAGACATTCTGGTTATTCAATGTATTATTCACCTCGCAATTAACTTCTGAACAGTTTGCTGTATTTATACATGTATATTGATATCCGTTTGTAAATATTGTAACATATATAATTGCACTTTGAAATATCTATGCATATAAAGAAATTATTATTATACGCATTAAAACCATTGCAGTCAATGTACGATACTTCCATTCATAATAAACTAAAGTTAAACTTTCATGCGCAATATTTTTTAAAGAATGATAAAAAGTGATTGAAATAAAATAAAATAGTTATTTGTCCACACTATAAAAAACCTTGGTCTGTACAACATAATCAATGTGACTTCAAAGAGCGCAAGATTTGAATGCCACCGTCACAAACACGTATAAACGCACGTACATGCACACAGATGGATGGATTGATATAAGCATAGGGGATAAGAGAGAAAGATGGGAGAAAACTGATGGTTACATATGGTCACGCGCGCGCGTGTGTGTGTGAGAGAGAGAGAGAGAGAGAGAGAGAGAGAGAGAGAGAGACGTCATCTCGGTCCAGCCCGTCACGTCTTCTCGCCTTGAATGTCTCCATGCCCCGTAACGACCGGTACTTGTACGAGCCTTAAACTGCCTCTTTAACTCTCTTGTGAAGCCACTTAAACTATCAGATTCCCCCTCCTTTTTTAAGTGTCGCTGTCTGAGGCGAATAATACACTGTATCATTGACACTGAGGTTGCCATAATGCCATAAAGACCACAGAGAGATGGGGTGTGTGGGGTCGGGGTGAGAGGGGGGAAACTGGGGGGGGGGGGACGGGTACTCGGACAAGTCCAAGTGTTTCTGCATTTGACACAAAACTATCAGAAATGTTCCAAAAGGAAAAGTGTGGATGGCACCTCTTATACGTCCATGTAAGACTGAGAGATTTTATTTACTGTCTGCAGTAGACAACCCCCATATACAAAGATATCGTTACCCCCCTCATATGGCCTCCGTTAAGTATGAAAAAAATGAGTTATTAACCACGCGTAGGATGACGGATGGAGGACGCAGGTGCGTGGGG